TGTCTGCTCTCAAAAAGAGGTAAGGTGACTGTAATAATTACGCTGTCTAAGCAGAAGACTTTAAGAGGCTTGGCTAGCAAAGTGCCCAGTATCCCACTGTCTGCTTTAAAATCTCATGTCAGAAAAGCATGCTATCGGAACAGCTTGTTACTGCAAAGTTTTTATCATTCGGTTCTGTACATCACATTGTGGTGGAGCTCAAGGACGTTATCTTAGAGGGGAACGCATTTGGCTTGCAGGAGTTGTTCGTTGTCATTCGCAAAACACAGAGCATAGTAATCATTCACTGTCAAGGTGTGCCAGCAAAACTGCGAGCCTGTTTTTGTCTCTGTGTCTGTAGGCTACATGTTTATGTGTGTGTGCATGTGTACGTGTGTCCAGGAGTAGCCAGGCAATCTTCACGCCATACTAATTGTGTCATCTGTAGCGTTTGAAAGGGCACATGGAGGCTGGTCAGTAATTACCACAAATTCAGCTTCCAGCAGGTAAAAACACAAATTAGAGGCTATAGAAGTTGACTTGAGTTCTCATAGTCTCATGTGATTTTTCATACTTCCAACACTGTGCTCACAGAAGGTGAACTGTAAATTTGTTTCTGCAACACTGTTGACCTCAAAGGAAAATTCTGGGTTCGATACAAGATTAAAGTGATGGTAAACCCAGAAATAAATTCCATGTCATTGTTTCTTTCTTTGTGCTCTACAGAAGAAAGTCACACAGGTTTGAAATAATGTGAGCAAATGATGGCAGAATTTTAGTTCAATCACATTTGTGGAGTATTGTTGATTACCACAAAAAATTATAATAAAATAAAAAAATATAGTAAAGGCAATTACAATGAAAGTAAACAGAAAATTTAGGAAGACTTCAAAGCAAAAATAGACTACTGTTCAAAACACTGGGTTCAGATAGATTTTTGTTTATAAAAGAAATGAATACTCTTATTCAGCAAGGACATATTAAATTGATCAAAACTGACAGTAAAGACCTTTGTAATGTCACAAAAAGATTCTATATCAAATAAATGCTGCTTTATTGAACTTTCTATTTATCAAAATATCCTGATAAAATTGAATCACAATTTCCAGAAAAAAAAGCAACAAGTATTTTCAACACCGATTATAATAAATGTATCCTGAGCTGCAAATCAGCATATTAGAATGATTTCTGAAGGATCGTGTGACACAGAAGAATGACTGCTGAAAATTCAGCGTTGACATCAGAGAAATAAATTGCATTGCCGATTGAGCTTTCATTTTTTTTTAATACACAGAATATTCCTTTAAGTGCACTGGTTATCTTTTACCCCTATTCAAATAGAAACAATGATGAGCATAGGACTTATTTATCAATATAATGGTCACTAATACCGATTTACTGGATGAATGCACATGCCCATGCAATGATAACGGCGGTTTAATTGGCCTTAATAGAAAATGAATGCTGACTTGCATGTGTTGTATCTGCCTTCACATAAATGTCATCTTTCATGCAAGCCATTTAATATTGCTTCATTAGAAAAGAGCTTTAATAACATGTTATAATTGAATGCTATCTATTAAAGGGAATATGAACTTAATCATCATGCAGTTGACTTTATAGCTTAGCTAAACACACAAGTCAAAAAAAAAACATTCTGGAAGGCTTAACAAGTCATCCGGGCCAAGGAAAAAACAACAAAAGTGTGCAATGATGAAGCACATTCACGCTACTGAATGCCACTGTGAGCTTTCATGACAAGGACATTTCTCAATTAAATGCATTGCATGAATTTAGTTAGTTTCCATAATTAAGGAGTGCCCAGGAAGGCCTCTTTTGCAGAGAGTGAGACGTGGTGGAAATGCTTATCTTCAAGAAGAGCAAGGCTGGCAGCGAGAGACACCAGCAGAGCTTCCACTTTAGCAGTGCTCTAAAAATACTTTACACATGCAGAGTCGAAGAAACACAAACGCTCTACATATTCATGAAAATTAATCACACAGTGCCACTGTGGTCTTTTCATGAGGGTCTATGCATAGATATTTTAAAATGAACGCCATGATTATTAGGGCCGGGTCATATACTAATATTCACAGTACATTCTGCCAGTAAGCATATAAAAAAATTATAATAAAAAAACTGATAAAATATGTACCTTGAAATCAATGTAAGTTGCTTCGGTCAAAAGTGTCTGCCTGAAGCATGAAATGAAAACAGTTGTGATTTTGTTTGCCAATTTAAAATAAATAAATAAACATTGTAGGCCTCTTTTGCAGAGAGTGAGACGTGGTGGAAATGCTTATCTTCAAGAAGAGCAAGGCTGGCAGCGAGAGACACCAGCAGAGCTTCCACTTTAGCAGTGCTCTAAAAATACTTTACACATGCAGAGTCGAAGAAACACAAACGCTCTACATATTCATGAAAATTAATCACACAGTGCCACTGTGGTCTTTTCATGAGGGTCTATGCATAGATATTTTAAAATGAACGCCATGATTATTAGGGCCGGGTCATATACTAATATTCACAGTACATTCTGCCAGTAAGCATATAAAAAAATTATAATAAAAAAAAATGATAAAATATGTACCTTGAAATCAATGTAAGTTGCATCGGTCAAAAGTGTCTGCCTGAAGCATGAAATGAAAACAGTTGTGATTTTGTTTGCCAATTTAAAATAAATAAATAAACATTGCAATGACTTTAATGCACTTTTTACTTTGCCCCCAAGTTCACTATAGAGTCAATAATATGAGAGTTTAATTACAGATTTTATAAAAAGCATCGCTGGCTGGAACTTTATAGAAGCAAAAAAGGAATTACATGTAGCAAGTAAATCAGTTCAAAACTCTGATTCAATGATTCATTAGTGTCAATTGTTAGCACTCAATTTATTTTTACAGAAATCTCAATGTGGCATTTTATTTACATGAAAACATTTTATTATAAATAAATATTGCTGTTTAAGTATTTTTATATTTGTTATATTTGTTTATATTTGTGACTGAATATTGTTCCATGTGGTGAGTCTTATATTGTACTTACAACAACTGAATCTGCTTGGCTACAGTGGCTGTTTGTTTGGTTGAAATTACAGCTCTATTCTTTGGAACAGAATAAGAAAAATATTATCAAAAGGCTGAAAATTATTGAGATTTCTATATCGTCCAACCCTAATGGATATCATGAGTGCTGCTAAAGAGAATACAAGAAGATGGGGGAATCAATAACTTCCACCCACTTCATATATGGTTTTGCTTAGAGTCAGTGGTTATGAATGGTAGAAGTGTGGCTCTCTGTCAGTCATTCTGGACTGTCCTCTGCTCTATGCTAATTAGATCTTGCTTGTTTTTGTTTTGCTGTTGTGATTGATGGTAATGGACGATTTCAAAAGCGAATATCCAGGCAAAAAGGCCACCAGCTGTACACAACCTTCTGTGTGTTTGTGTAGAAAGCATGCATCTAAAGGGACCGGTGACGCCACTGAGAGGTGCTTATTTCCTCTGAAATGCACTTGGACATTATTGGTCAATCTTTAGTCTGAGTGAAATGTAACTACCAAATCATTTTGTCAGTACCGGAAAGCCAATTCATTTTTTTCTGTATACTGGCTGATGAAATTGCCTCTTATTGCTAGACATCTGAGGAAATTGACAAACATTTGTTATAGAGAATAAGCAACACGTCTAGCTAAAAATTCTCTTTAAACTCTTTAAACCACATAAATGACTCATACGAGCACCGGACATATACACAAGAGATTTAGCGCTTCTTTCACTGAAGGATCTGCTTTCAAATGACTGCAACAGGATGCCAGAAGACTGACATTTTCAATGCTTTGAAAATTCATTTCTACTCTTGCTCTAGGTCAAAAATCTGTGTCTCATATGAGCTCATCATAAACAAGACCAATAAGCTTGATTAGCATAGCAGAGTTTGTCTCTTACACAGACACACACACACACACACAGACAGACACACACACACACACACACACACCTAACCCTGCAGATGTACAGTATCCATGCCAACTGGCCTTACATTGACTAACACTGCATTACAATATATAATCATGCCAACACAGACAACACATCTGTGTTATATAAAAAAACCTTGTTTATCATCATAAGCAAAACAATGCAAGATGCCTCTCAGTCTAATGACAGCTCATTTCAGCTGGACATGAGTATTGTAATGGGAACAGAACAGGCCAGAGCGAAGTACACACTCACTATTGTGCTCTCCCGTTATTCCACTACAGGAGTGATGCATGCCCAGCTGTGAGATGCATATTTCAATTTTTTTCATAGTCTATATTCCTACTACTGCAGCATAGTTTATTATGTTTCTTACATGGTGTATGTATGTGTGTATAGTTTGTGTATGTGTGTGTATAGTTTTGCACTGTCTTGGCATTCATTGTGGACAGCAAAGTAAGAATTTCATTGCTCAGGGAAACTTGTTTTCCTCACTGGGCATATGACAATAAACACTTTGAATCTTTGAATCCTATTGGCTGAGATGTCTTGTAGTACAGAGGGGCATTGTATGTTGGGATGGTCTCACTGATTAATTGTGTGAGGTATTGGGTTGCTGTTCCAAAAGGCACAGTATTTGTGTTTTTTGCTCAATAGTGTGCTATCCATGTGCCTCCAAGCCAAGACGTGATTCTGATGGATCTTACAGCATTCCACTACCAAAAATCTTACAATGAGTGGAATGTTTTCTACTTTCCATGGACAATAAGACTAATAAGGCAAAGACATATATACACACATACACATTAGACAAATTAACAAAAGTTTCCAATGAATGACAAAGTCACATCTACCTCTCTAAGTGACCAAAAAAAAACAACTTTTTGTTGCACTTAAGCACCCAGTGCTGTCAAAGCTCCATTCAAAATTAATTTTGAGCAACTAATGCAGAACGACACCAGAAACTGCCCTGATGTCAAGCACATGCTCTGAGAGAGAGAGAGAGAGAGAGAGAGAGAGAGAGAGAGAAGCTCTGCGACTTACCTTTGTCACTGTAGTCATCTACCAGTATGATCTCTGCGATCAGGTGGTCGGGTGTGCGGTTGGTGATGCTGTGGATGGTTCTAAGCAGAGAGGACCAACCTTCGTTATGGAACGGGATGATAATACTGGTGTTTGGGAGGTTTTCAAGATACAGCTTCTGCTTACAGCTACAGAAAAGAAAGAATGAGAGAGAGAGAGTGAGATTGAGAGAGAGGCAAAACACTACTGTATCTACTTATGCTTTACATCAAATGCTTGATCAGTGCATCACTGTATAATCCACATATTGTAAATCACTTAACAAACATGTGAAAGCCTTTTCAGAACAATGATGTGTGAAATACAAATCTTGTCACTTACTGCACTAGATCTTGCCAAACTGTAAAAACATTATTTGAAAATAAAAGGACCGGCATGGGCCGCCCCAATGCCGTGGGCAACGGCGATGGAGTTCAGATCATAAATCAAAGTTTTGAGAGGTCCTTCAGTCCCAGCGTGCTCATAAAGCTTTCAGAAATCTACATGCTAATTGAGCTCAGACAAAGCCGGCACTGACAGATGAAGTGGCACTTTATGGCTCACACCGCTCTCTTTAATTCAGCACCCTGACAAACTTGACAAGCCTGCCCTAATTCATACACCTCCATATAATAATCATTCTCGGGGCGCAGCATGGTTTATTAACATTTCACTTCGATGGTGGTGGAAAAAAACAACAAAAAAACAAAAATACAGTATACAGAGAATCACCATGGTGAACGAATGCATGCTGGAGGGGAGCCAGCATCTAAAACAGTCCTGTCTGACCTGTCAGATCAGTCTACTAATGAAATACAGCTCAGGAAGAAAAAGGCACCCCATTTGCATAGTAATAGGCAGACAGTGTCATGTGCATTACTGGAACATGCAACTGTCATAACAGCAAATGCTCCAAATCGGCATGAAAGTATATTTATTTGCATGAAAACACTACTGTTCAGGAGTGTCTTTTCTTTAGCTTTGATTCAACAATCCATACTCAAACTGACTAAATAGGGTGACCATACGGGCCATTTTTACGGGACGCACCCTTGCCAGGACTTCTATATTACCTAAAATATCCAAGTTTTGCACTGTGCAGATCGATCGTTGTATGGCGTTATTTCACGAGAGCTATAGAGAGCAGAGCAGACGGCTCTTTATGCTTTTAAATCGCTCTTGCGGTACTTTGATGTCATACAATAATCGGTGCGCAGCTTCAAGTTGCACGAATGAACAAACACGTGCGCATATTTGCGTCGCTTTGATCGCTCTCACCTTCTAACGCGCAATGCGCCACGATTGGTCAATTATGTACAATACCTGCATGTTATTGGTCAAACTACTTTGGGTGTTTTAGGCAATATACAAATCCTGGCTAGGACGTGTTCCATATATATGGCACATATGGCCACCCTATGACTAAAATAACTTTTACATTTGAGGTAAGAATAAAAACATTTTTATAAGATTTTTTTTTTTTTTTTAATTGTCATGTTTTTAAAAGAAGTCTCTTATTCTCACCAGTGCCATTTATTTGATCAAAATACAGTAAAAACAGTAAAATTGTTGAATATTCCTACAATTTAAATCACTTTTTTTCTATTTGAATACATTTTAAAATGTAATTTATTCCTGTGATGACAAAGCTGAATTTCAGCAGCCATTACTCTTGTCTTTAGTGTCACGTGATCCTTCAGAAATCATTCTAATATGCTACATTTCTTGTTAATATCAATGTTGAAAACATTTGTGCTGCTTAATATTTTCTGTGTAAACTGTGATACTTTTTTTCATGATTCTTTGATAAAAAATAAAGGTTCAAAATAACATTAAAAAAAATACAATTGAACTCTCTCTCTATAGAGAGATATGCACACACACATTTTTGTTTTGCTTTATTCAAGACTATATGTGTGTTTTTAAAACTCTCAGCCATTTTTCACTTGAGAAAGCATGGAATCTGTCCATTTTTTCTGCTTGTTATTAGCACAAACTGAAGCTGCAGCTGCATCTGTGTATCTCTCTGTTACCTGCATTAAAAGTGAATACACGGGCATGCTGGCTCTCGCACTGAGACAGTTACTCACATTCTGTCTGTTGGCAGGTTCCACACTGAGCGCCACAGGCTTTTATAGGGGATGTAAATAAAAGCCCCACACCAGGCTCTTCACCGGAACACTGTCTACAGTGCTTGAAAGGGGTTTACACAACTTTACAGCTAACAGCAGGGGAGCAACAGACAAACTTTTTCACCAAGAAGTCGTAGGCGAGATTCTCTAACCTAAAAACATTTTTTACAGACTTCACATTCATTCACATTATCAAAGCCTGAAAGCTTGGCAAGCCAGCAAATGCTTAAATGGACCTTAAGCTCATTCTGGCAGAATAAATTGTATTTTAGTTATCGACAACCCTGTAATGAATCGTCCTCCTTTAGACAGTGACTCTTTGGTACATGAGCTATAGAGAGATTTGTTCTTGCTAAGGGAAAATCCATGGCAGTGGAGACATTCAAGGGAAGGTAATGGTGCAGAGCCTTCTGAGAACAATTAACGATCAATCCATCAAGGTGCTCATTTAGATGGAAGTGTGAAACCAGACCTTCTCCTTCAAATCCTGCTAAATGGATGGACTGCACCAAACTAATGCTGTCTCTCTTTTTTGCCTTTACACTTTAACACTGATGATTAAGCACTTTCATTGTCATCTGTGCAACAAAATGTTCTTAAGACTAATTTATTTTGTAATCCAGTCAATATCTGAGACATTCCCATTCAAAACGTTTGGGTTACTAATATTTTTTATGTTTTTGAAAGAACATTTATTTGATCAAAAATACAGAAAAAAACAATAACATTCTGAAATATTATTACGATTTAAAACTAATTTTTACTGTTTTAATATATATAAAAATATAATTTATTCCTGTGATTCAAAGCTGAATTTTCAGCAGCCATTACTCCAGTCTTCAGTGTCAAATGATCCTTCAGAAATCATTCTAATATGCTGATTTGCTGCTCAAGAAACATTTCTTATTATCATCGATGTTGAAAACAGTTGTGCTACATAATATATTTGTAGAAACTGTAGGCTAATAGATTTGTTTTGTTTGTTTTTTCAACATGGGCTGTGTTAACACATTTTTATTTACTATTTACCAATTTATTTTTAATATAATATATAATTAAATTAACAGTGTGGATACAGAAATAAAGTGAGTCATATTCGACTCATCTCAATATACTGTCTCCCATGAGCTCCAAATAAGCTTTTATTAGGCTCCTGATATGACTCCAGTCTTCATCTTGTGTGAGTCTTCATGATTTAAAACAATTGTCAAAAGACATACTTATTTATTGCATATGTAAAACTTGTAATGATGGGAAAAAAAATCCTAAGTGAATTTTTCAGTGAAAATGTCATTAAGAAATGTGGGGGTTCATGGTCATAATTTTATTCACAACAATATATGATTAACACAGAACCACTGACTTTCAAAGATGTTTAAGGTAAAATCTCAAAGCTTTAGGCTAACATTTAAAATAAAAAAAGTTAGTTATCCCTGCTCTCCCTTGTTTTGATGTTATATGACAGCAAAAGGTGCACAAACAGAAAAATCTTTCAGCCTTGAAATCACTAAACTAATTCATCCTAATTAGATTAACTTCTCATTTAGGATGAAATCATTCATTAAAACACATTGCGTAAGTATGGCCTGCCACGGATCGTTAAAACGCTGATATCTAGCTCAAGCTGTGCGGCTCTGGAGGCTGGTTACTGTCAACATGCTGTGATAATCAGCTCTACTCACTTTGGATGTCTGATGTCAGGAAGGGAGCGGTCCAGAGCGATATTGTTGCTGACGTAGATGTTGAAGCCATTCTCTTTGTATACGGAGTCATCACACTCATCCTCTGAGAGCGGGTACGGTTTCCCATGCTCCCCTTTTCCTGAAACAGATGCGGTCAGACATCAGCAACCATGCTGAGCACAGCCAAGATGTTGACAAGGTGAGCATGTGTGTACTAACAATGAACATGCACCACCCCAAAGATAGAAACTATACTGCTGTGAGAACTGATAATTTATTTTATTATTATTTTATGACTGAATAGCTGAAACAACTTAACCAATGAGCCCTGAATGATGACCAGACATACTCCAGTATGAAGGCTCAACATGCTGACCGAGTTGCTGGCTCTGCAGTGTACATTATGAACTCAGCCACTTTCCTCTGTGTCTCTCTGTCATAGTTGATGGAAATCCTATTTATCATTACTTAATGGAATATTCAAAAAACAAATTTAATTCTGTCATCATTTCATCCTCATGTAATTCTACATTCGTATGCCTTCTGTGGACCACAAAAAGAGTTATTCTGCACTGCAGTATGTGATGCTCCTTTCTATACAACAAAAGTATTCTATACGGCCATAGAGTTTCCCCGGCAGACTTCTGCCATTCCAAGAGGGTTCAATCACCTCCATTCTTCCATATGCACCTAAGGGATGTCCATATGTGTATTGCTTCCAAAACCTCCTTCGGGAAGGTTCGAGCTTCCGTAACATCCCTGTTCCAAGTAGAACGGGTGCGTTTCCCCAGTGTTATCCAGTCTTACTCAGTGGGTAGTGCCATAGTAGCAGTAGCTGGTCCTCTTGTGCAGGCCCTGGCCTACGCCAAAAAGTAGGGGCGCAGGTGGCTTCCACAGGACACTGGAAGGGGCGGTAGCTGTGGCCTTTTGGTAGGATCCCAATTCGTCGGTCCTCCGACGTGACGTCTCTGTTCCCCCCTTCAGGGAGCGAGGGTTACATACGTAACCGAGACGTTCCCTTTCAGTCGGTCACTCTCGACGTCACGTCGGAGGACCGACGAATTGGGATCTCGCTTAGAGGGACCAATCTACTTCGAGTGTAAACTAAACGAGCCAATGCACATTGGCATGCGATTATTGCATCCAGCTGCTGCTGATCGCAGCGTGAGTATAAGTAGGCAGCAGATGCAGCACATATTCAGGTTTTCGCTGAGGAGCCGAGCCGGTGACCCGGCCGCTCAGCGGTGGTACAGGAGCTGTGGCGACGGGACGTGACGTGACGTCTCCATTCCCTCCTTCAGGGAACGAGGGTTACATACGTAACCGAGATGTTAAATTTCTTACTATGTGTAAGTAAGTAAGTTGTTTTTTAGCACGTAAGTTTGGCAGTGTTATTTTTTAGGATTACTGATAAACTACTGTCGTTTGATTTGTATTATTTGTATTTGTTATTTATTTTAATTTGAGTTAAATTATGTCTGAATTTATTATGTCTGTATAGGTCTTTTATTAAGTTTTAGTTTTATTTAATTTATTATTTATTATTATTTATTTATTTAAGTTATTTTACTGCTTCAACAAACTAAATGGAAATTAAATAATATATATATTGAATTTATAAATGTGTATGTATATATATACACATATGTGTGTATGGTTGTACATACACATATATGTAGTTGTTTTTTTGGTGTTTGGCTTAGTGTTATGTTAGAATCATTATTATACTCTTAGTCTTATACCTTTTGTTCTTTAATATTTTTAATTGTTTTTAGCTTTATTTTTTGTTTTTCATTTAAATGTTAAGTTTTGAA